CCCCCCCCCCCCCTTTTTTTTTTTTCTCAGGCGACTAAACTGAGACTGAAATCAGTAATTGTCATTTTTTTTATTACAGTGAAACCTCTCGTGCTCCACAGTAAAATGGTCGTAATACCTCACTTTTAGTAATTTTCTTGATACTGAAATGCCGCCATGAATGCGCCGAATCGATGAATGAAATTTAAGAGTCCATAAAAATGATTCCTACTGATATGTTTCAAAACAAATTTACCTATTATGAATGATCGAACCATTTTAAATTAACAAACCATCATGTTTTTTTTTATTTTTTTAAAGTTTGCATTTAATTCTATATCACGAAAATTAGATAGCTTTAGAAAATGAGATGAGGTTTGTTTGTTTGAAATTGTTAGTCTTTTTTAAAATAACTTTTTCTTCTAATTTAACTTTCAATTCTAAAAATAAGATCGTCTTTAGTGATCTCTTCCAGAAATCGTCAAAAGAGCTCTCTAAATAAGGGCCTCACAAATATTTTGAATAGATTTTAATCTATTTATTAGTTTTGTTAATGTTTTTTCATTTGTCCGTTTTCGCATTTGGTGCAGAGGTTTTGATGGTCAACATAAAGTCTATAGAAAAAAATTCCGTGCTCGTCAAATAGAGGAGGTCGCTACACAGTCTTTCTTAAGAGGTTTCATTGTGTTTGTTCGAAAGATTCTTTTTTTTTTCTTCCAGTAATTGCATGTGAAATAGATAAAATTGCCATTACTTGATCAACAAGTCTTTTATTTACAGTGTTTCAGCTTCAGGTAGAAGAATTTTAGGAAATATATTTTATTACAGAATAGAGTGGGATGGGTCACCACGACAAGTGGATCGGGCCTGTGCCAGTGAATCAAAAAAAAAAAAAGAATCAAGCTTTGGAAATGGTACAGAGGAGAAAAAAATTACATTGATAAACACGCTAAAAAGTTTTTCTTCGACTTAGATATTTTACTTTTTATACTTGATTTACTGAGCCTATAGTCACTGATACTAGCTTTTTATAGGGAAGATTAAATTACATTTTGTAACTGCCACTAGCATTTAACTTTTATTATCCATATACAGTTGTATATTAAAGGAAAATGAAAAAACAATCCGAATACATCGTCCTAGATTTCGAAAAAAGTGGTTTGACAACTCTTTTTCCGATTGCTAATGCTATGAATGCTGAGATAGAATTTTAAAAAGTTTATTAAAAAAATTTAGGTTTTGAAACTTTTTTTTTTTGCACAATTTGCAGCTTGTTAAACAAAAATGCCAAATATATAAAAATCTCCTCAATTTTGAAGTTTTTGCCGCTTGCGTTGCTTTCTTAGTTGCACCACAGTATAATGGTGGATAGTTAATACATTTAACTTTTAAGAATAGTAATAATACTAAATACTTTACTTATAAACTTTTTTTTTTCTTTTTAAAATGCTCACAGCTGTTAAGACTCCAAATGAATATACACATGTTTTATCTTTAAATAAGTCAAGGATATTTAATCTAGAAAATGAAATTGTTTAAATATGTATCAGTTATGCATCCCCCCCTGTATATGACAACTAAACTCTACCTATGAGAGAAAAAAAAGTGTCAGTTTTCTCATGCTCTGTTTTCCTCTAAAATTAGTCACCTGGGGCTTAAAACAGCCAATGTATTTAAATTTTGATTAAATTCATGATTCAAATCAATTGATTTTCTTTTTAAAAAAGATGATTGATTCAAAGATTTACAAATTATATTATTAGATATTTTAAATTTTTTAATGATTTTCATGGTTTAAAATTTATAGTAAATATATTGCTAGGTTAATGAGTTTCAGTTAGCGAAAATGCATTAGTAATCGAGACCTACCAAAATGCAGAGAAAACATGGAAAAAATGATGATGCAGAATAATGAAAAAAAAAAAAAAAAATTATTAAAATTTTTTTTTTTTTTAAAATATAAAAACAAATTTCTAAACTAATGATAAAATTTGGAGTTAAAAAAAAATTTAAACTACAAAACATGTTGCAAATTTTGCACTGTTGAAAGTGCATGAGATAAGAAAGGTATTTTGTTAGCTAGTTTAAAAATATGACAAAAAATTATTTAAAAAATAAGTTATTGGAAATAAGAAATTCATAATTGTGACGATATATTATAGCAACAATTATTTTATTACCAGGAAGAAATATTTAATTTTTTGCTGTTGATGGGAAAGAAAGAATTAAAGAGGCTTGTTAAAGAACTAAGAAGCAATAAACAATATTTTTTTATTATACATATAAAATAATTTCGAGAGCATAAAAAACTATACAAAAACAATCACATAGAAATGTTACATGAAATACTGTTCTTAAAAATACAAAGTAGCAAAACTAGCATTTAAATATTTAACATGCATATCATTATATGTACACTGTGCGAAAAACGCCACATAAACAAAGTTCTTAGCTTTTAAAACAAATAAGCAAGCTAAAGAACTATAGAATAATTTTCAAAATTCAACAAGTAAAAATTTTTTATGTATAGCAGAAGTGCACTTTCTAGCACATAATATTCATGTGATGATTTTGAGATACAAAAATAAATTGTCATTTTTAAAAAAAAATAATTTCTGATTCAATAAGCTTATACAATTTATTTCTATCCATTTATGAAAAATAAAATTCATAGTAGAAATATTTATACTATAACAAACTGATTTAGAATTCCTATTCTATACATTTCTGAAAACAGAGCGGTCATAAAATTGGGGCACGTGGAGTGTTTGCATAGGTTTCCACGCTGGTGGTGTCGTAAATTATTTATCAGTATAAGAAACATTTTCTTTTATTTTGCCAAATAAAATAGAAAAAGGTAGTAGTCTTCATATTTTTAAGGGTCCCACAAAAAAAAGAGTAATAAATCAAAATTATAAAAATTGAGATTAAACGACATCTTTCGATAACTATTCAAACTGGGTGCTTAAACAGAAAGAGCCACTCATTCTGTATACATAACATAAAGTAAATGAAATAATAGTATAAAATTTAAAGAAAAAAAAAGGTTAAATTGCTTGCTTTAAAGAAAAAAAATTTGAGAAAGAAAAAATTCATTTATTTCAATAATATGCCAAACTCTTAAGTGAAATCCTTGGGATACTGCAGAAAGAAAATATTTAAGACCTCACAATAGTTTTGCATAGGAACCAGCAAAGTTCAGAAACTGTTCAGAATTTTTTTTAAAAAAAAATGTAGCTTTGAAAGGAAAATAGTAGGGAGACATATTTTATAACAGTACAAAAAAGATTTAATGAATTATTATAAATAAAACATTAAAAAAAAAGTCACATATTTGATATGGGTCAAAAAATAATTACGTTCTCGACAAAAAACAGTCATTAAACAAAAGCCCAACCAGAGATTAAGTACCATTCGGACATGACAAAATATTTATTTCATTTGCGTTTCATTGCAGAAAAATTTCCACATCTTAAATTACTTTCCTGGCATTTAAACATAGGAATTAAGCATATGTCATAGCTTGGCACTCACTGCAACGTAGAATTCAGCCACCTGAATCAGATTAAGACTGTTACATTAACCTCGTCATGAGTTGCGAAAGGCTAGCCAGAAAAAAATGTTTTACGCGTCATAAAACGGAATGTCAGCTATTATTTCACGTCTGGAAGTCTGATTAATTGTTTCACACAGAATAACTGAAAAGCAATGACTTTAAAAGTTAAAGCAAATCTAACAAAATGAGAAGGTACTTAAGTTGAAGAATGTGCCACACTTGTGCTTATAGATACACAGAACATTGCTGCCAAATGCACAGGAGTAATGAATGTACAAATATGGTACTTTTTTTCTCCAGATAAATTGTTCAAATTACTTAAGTTAAGATAGTTAAAACTTAGCTTCTTAATAAGTTTTTTTGACAGAATAATAAATAACAAAACAATAAAGTAAAGAATAAAAAAATTATTAAAATATATATTGTATAATAAACTATAAAATGAAGTCCATATTTTGTATAAAGGAAAATTAAATAAAAGCAGTTTCTATAAAACGGATTGATATTTAAATAACATGATGGAAATATTCATTGATCTGTTAAATAAATGATAAGACAGTACAAAAAAAAAGAAGAAAAGAAAATGCTTTTGTAATAAAAGAGAATGTTCATTTAAAATTTATAAAATTAACAAGTTATCTAAAAATAACTGGGAAAAAAACAGGTTTAAAAGGGAAAAAATAGAATGTCTATATCTTCAATCATTATCAAAATTAATAATTGAATATAAACAATTTTTGAAAGAAAAAATGAAGGTACTGTAAGTAAGATATTTTAACACCATAAGCAACCACAATATTACAACACAATCTTGATATATATCTTGATTGTTATGAGAAATTGAACACTTTGTTTTTTGAAATGAAATGACAGCTTTTCAATGCAGAAATAAAATGAACACAAAACATGTTTGCAATGACATTTCAAGTATTATAAGAATCCACGATTGCAAACATTATTTACTTTTGAATAAAATTACAAAATCGAAAATTTATTTGTTTGAAAAAGGAAACATTTAAGCTTGTATAATATAGATCAGTTCTGTACAATATTTAAATTTTGCTTAATAACACAATGTGCAACACAATAATTTTTTTAAAAGGTCAATCCAAAAATAAAATATACATATATAGTATAAATATTGTAAAGCAATAATTCATAAATCGTCAATAGTTTAAATATAGTCAATAGTAATATATTGCCAATCTTAAAAATAAGACAATAAAAGAATGTCAGAAACATTTGAACACAGAAAAATAGAATGCTTTCTTGTATATTAGACAGGGTCTTGTATCTTTTGATTACAGCAATTTTAAATTTCTACTGATCATAAAAATAGTTTTTCATCCATTTATTAGAGCCAACTGGCCAACTGTACAATTTCAAATCTTTCAGTTGACCATGCATTTAATATATTCCTAATATGTGAATCAACAAGTTTTTACAAGTTATCCAATAAACAATTTCTCACTTATTTTACTATGCAGGATTTGTGAAAATTACAAGAATATTGAAGAAAAATTAAAGACAAAATAGTGCCCTATAGCAAATTTTCAAAATACACTTCATGTTTAGTTAATTAGGGAAAAACACATACTTCAATACAGAAGAGATAGCCAAAGGCCTGAAAAACAGATAAATAATATTAACTTTAAAAAAATATGGCTAGACTTGCACTCAAAGCACTAAATATCTGTTTTAATTTGCATGATTTTCACATGGTTTTTATAAACACAAAGATGCATTGTTATATACTTTGTGATTATAATCTATTCATTCAAAAAATAACAATGACACTAATTTTTCCCCTTGAAATAATTTATACTATCTTAAAGCCAGATTAAGAACAAAAGCAAGCAGCATATAGTGTGAAAGTGAATATCAATTGCAATACTTAAATACTTTTAGTATTTGAGATGGTATGGGTATAAATGTAAGCTTGATTTTAACTATGCTCTCTATATTCCAACTTACATTCTAAAACCCAGAATTAACCCACCATAAATATGTAAACTATTCTTCAATTAAAAATTTGATAAACTATTCACAAATAGGCCAATAAGAAGACAATTGGAAACACCCCAACTAGTAATTAAATGCTTAAGGATAAAATGCAAGGTCAAAAATTTTAATATTGGGAAAAAAATTAAAAGTTGAGAAATCAAATATAGTCAAATAGCTACATAGTCAAATTGATATAAATCACTTTAAAAGAGCATCAGATATTTTGAACAAAATTATATTGGTTACAAATTTCCAAAATATAAATAATCTTTCTACTAAATTCATTACCAAATACTAACTTTTAGAAAATATTGTAAAATCCTGATTATAATAATCTATTAAATGATGTCAAAATTGGATCAATTGAAACACAATATCATTAATTGGCTGATAAAAAAAGGATTCTTTAATTAAATTGTTGACACGCTCAGTATCATCAAAATAAAAACTCATAAGTTGAATCGTCTTTGACAGGTCCCTTTATTATTTTTTTTAAATTGTAAAATCGTTTTTGTTCACAATTTCACTTTTTTTTTTTCAATTCAGATACAAAACACATGTAAAGAATTGTAATATCTTTTAACATGCTCACCATTTTCCTAATTTAAAACAACCTTTTATCTCTTCTTAAAAAAATATCATCATTCTATCCTAACTAATTTTCATGCGCTCATTACTGTTTCATCATCTTTGATTTTATTCTTCAATGCAAGGGATTTTCATTTGCGATAACCACTCATATTTCGCTTATGCATTAACTAAAGTCTTTTTTCAAATTTTTAGTCTGATGTTTTAAAGAGAATTCAGTGTTAAGTCTGAATTGAATGCTGACTGATGATGCATCAGGAATTGTAAGTCCAATGTAAATGCTAGGCTGGAACAAGATTTAGTTAATTTAAGCAATCCACACATGAAAGGTTAGATGTAGAAGATAGAATTGAAATTTAATTTTATACCTATGATTGACTTCCACATGTAAGATTAAAAATTGATATTTTTCAATAACTGGAATGTGATGTTGGTTAAGGAAAAATAGATTTAGTAGTGATCAATTAAAATTATTGCAGGCTGAAGATGAAATAGTGAAGAAAAAAAAAGATCAAAAATTCATACTAACAATAGGTGATCGTTGTTTGGAAATCGTTGTTCAGAGGTTCACCCTAATGTTAATCCAATAGTAGACATTTAATTCTATAAACATAAAGCAGTTCTTTGGATGTTGCCGTTGTTTAGAGGTAGTCATTAAAGGAGGTTTGAATGCTTAATGTTGTAGCCAGAACAATGCAATATACATTCTTAAATATTAAAACTTTTAGTGCTTTCTCGGGGATTTTGCAGTAAAAAAGTTTCAATCAGTTGTGGATATTTTGTAGCTCGATATAAGATTTCATTGTACCAATTCAGGAATCAGTTTACTCTTTTGAATTTGATGTTGATACATCAAATAACAGGCCTTAGACTAAACCACAGATTATAAAAAATAATTTGTGATCATTAAAATTTAAAAAAATAAATTATTCTATTCAAATTTAAATTATTAAAGCTAAACTGTTACATATAAATTGATAGATAAGCATAAATTTTTGTATTAAAGTATAAGTCAAAGAAAACTATACATAATAGAAATTATCGATGAATTGATTAAATATGTAAAATTTAAAGACCGTATATTATGAAACAAATCATACTTTTTATCACAGACCGTACTTTTCTCTCAAGAAACCAATTAAAATGCACTTAATTTCTCTAAACTTTTTGTATAAGACCAACATACCAGAAAAATAGTATGAATCAATTTTAAAGACTTAATGCAAACATAATATTTTACAAATCCACAATAACTTTCATTATTTTTTTTTTAAAAAAAAGGACTACATAAGTAATTAAGTGGGAAAGAGATATAAAATCTCATATAATAAATATAAAAATCATAACGAAACAAAAATTATCTAACATTATAACATAATTTTGAAATCTTTCAAAACTTAAATGCTGGAAGAGGCACTAACTTTAATGAGAAGCAAATAAAAGCTTTTTTATATTTTATAATGAAAACTTATATAAAAACCTGCAAAAGGCACTATAATTCAAGTCATTACCAAAATGCATTAAAATTAAACATCAAATGTCAAGCAACAAAACCTTGGTGTGACAAAATTTACAATAATTATAAGACTAGGTATATTCAAATAAATATAATAGTTTTTTATATTATGGCTGTATGTCCACCTTAACACAATAAAAATAAAATTAAACAGGATGTCATTGAGATTTCCTGTAAGATTCTTCAACATTCTGGCGCATTTCATTAAAAGCTTTAGTTTTCACAAAATCAACCTTCTTGTAAACGGTGGAGGCGGACAGTCTCTCGGGAGTTTTAGGGCTGGGCGATGGTTCAGAATCTAGATCAAGATCCAAATACTGTATTTCGTCCTTCTTAGTGGGAGCAGAGAAAAAATGCCTTACCTAAATAGAAATAATTGCATTTAGATACATTGATTGAATGTAAAATTTAGTAGCTCATGAGATTAAAGTGGCTATAAAGTGTTTAAAAAAATGGAAACAATCATTTAACTCAATTTCAAACAGGATCACCAAACAGTAAAAGACAAATAAATGTAATAAAATTAAAAAGAAACGGTAACTGAAAAAAATATAAAATTGAGGCAATTTTAATTGTCTAGCATAATTGTAAAAAAAATGATCCAGTTTCATTTAAAACTCCGGACATTGTGCAATTAAAGCAGATTTGAATGAAAATTTTTTGGCTATATACACTCCAATATTTTATTGAATAACATGAAAAGAGAGGCTGATTTTTTCATGCAAAAAAACAGTTTAAAAATTATTTAGAGTATAATATTTACTAACTTTTTTAAAAATTTAAAACGAATATTTTCCGATGAATTATTGGTGAATAGTGTCTATTAAGAAATAATTTAAAGAAAATATCTAACATTAGAAAATAATATGTATTTAGACTTAAATATGCTATGCATCCTAAAATTGATAATAAAAGATCAAAAAAGCAAATCTAATTAAACATGCAAAAAATAACACAAGAGTATTTACTTGATCATCATTTGAAGAATTTCTGCGACTGCCACTTGAATTGGAAACTTCATCATCGGATGTTGCTGACATTTCAGGCTGATGTCGAAATCTATTGGGTACGGGTGGCATGCCATTTAAGGAGACAGGAGTAGGACTAGGCGCAGCTCTAAAAAGATGCATTGATATTAATTAATGCCTTCTAAAACTAATACCTATACAAAAATGCTCGTGATTAAGTTAATTGTACAAAGAAAGTTGACACTTAAATCGATTCAAAATGCAGTTGGCAGTGTATCATAAATTTTTGTGATGATGTAAAAACATATTGAATTATATCTAAAACAATAAAAAAAAAATTAAAAGTATTTTTTAGCTATTTTTTTTCTTTTTATGTTATATGACACTAAAGTAAACTATAAATTATGACCTAGAAGAATATATACTTGGCAAATGTAAAGAATTTATAAAAATTTTAAGAAAATAAATGAATAAATAAAAAACTAGTGTTTTTTTTTTAAATTTTTTTAATAATAATAATAGCTATTTAACTAAATGGTAATTGCATCATTCTAAAATTAAAAAAACATAGTAATTCTGGCATAACATATCTATAAATTTCACCCACTCTTCCTAATATAAAATTTCATTAAACATCCCTTAAAAGTCTCATTTGTCACTCACTTTGCTGCACATTAACAGAAGCACAACATAGAAATAAGAAAAAATGCTCTGCTACTTTCATAAATACATTTGAGAACCATTAAAGTCAGTAAAAATCAAGATCATATTAAAAAGAAAAAAGAAATAAAAATAATAAATACTGAAAAATACAATGATTAAAATAAACTTTGATATATAATTGTTACACAAATAATGAATCAGGAGGGAAAGGAATTAGATCAAGTTTTACAACGATTTACACACAGGCAATGAATAAAACATTAAATATTCCAAAGATGATAAAATAGATTATACATTTAATTGTTTAGAGAAAAAAATACATACCTTGTTTTTCTAAAACTTCTTTTATCTGCTTTTGTTCTGGATCGACATACAGGGGGTGGCTGCAGAGTTAAAAAGCTGAATGATCCTAAAACAATAAATAGGTGTTGAAAGAAAAAGCAGTTAGGAAGGTATTACAAACCTTTATTTTTAAAAGGATAAATAAGTCTTCACATCAACATCAAGCCAATAATGGATTCAAGACATCTGAGTTTTTATAATAAAAATTTTAAGTAAATTCTTTATTTTTATTAAAATTTTTTTTAGAATGATCTAGGAACAACTGGTTATATCTAACAACTTAGAAATGCCATTGGGTTGGAGAAACTCTTTTTGTTTAATTTAGTTCTAGTGCTTGCTGTTGCCAACAATAAATGCACTAATTTGTAGACTTTTACATGTTTCAACTAAGCACAAGCATGAGGTAAGTAAATTGAACTATTACATAACACACTTAATTATTAACAATTCAAAGATACAATAATATGTCATTCTGGCTGTCAGAAATATTAATATTTCATCACCTAAAACATTTTCCTCAATGTCGTTAGCATGATACACTCGATTTAACGATACTCGTGGTCCGAGCAAAAACAGGCGTTATAACATGAGGTTGTTATACCAAAGCACACTTACTATTAACTCATAGCTAAATTAACATTTGACACATTTTAACAGAATGTTACTTTACTTCAATAAGAACTTGGGAATTAACAAAAAAATTAGTAATAACAGAACTTTTTTCTTATGTTAATATAAACACAAAAGTATAATTTAAAATATTACTTAATGGGTGAAAAATGCATTAAAAATTAATATGCTGCGCTTGAACTGCACCTTTCAATAGATAACATACATCAAAATAACTACGAATGCATGTTTTATCTCAAAAATATACCGCACAAGGAGACAAACATTAAAAAAAAAAAAATTTTAAACAAAATAAGTATGATTGATAAATTTATTTGCATGAAAAGAATACTACAAAGATTATAAATTACGACCACCTACATAAGGATTTGTATCATTCTTCATTCATTCAAAGGAGACATTCATATTCATATTCATTGTCTGGTAACATCAAAGAAAATAAGGGTTTAAAAAATTTCTTTGAAACTAATTCTACATCAAATGACTAAATTTCGGTTGCAAACTACGTTTGAAAATAACAGCGCATGTATGGAACAGCAAACGCGACTTAATGCATCAGTCGTTAGAATGGAAGGGTCCCTCTAATGGGGGGAGGGTCATACAAAAATAGCCCTTGACTGTATTCCAAAATTTTTATTATCTTACAGGAAGAGATATTTCTAAAAACACACCCAGAATTCAACAGAATAAAATTTCATGATACAATATAGTTTCTTTTACAAAATAAATCACAAAAAGTTATTACCTTTATCCTCATTATTGATGTTACGCTTTGGCTTCAATTCTCTGTTAACGGCAGGAGGCAATTCACTGAGAAAGTTAGAGGAGAGTGTTGGACTAGTAGGTACATTAGCATAAGCACCTATTGCTGATGGGCTAGGTGGGGTGGCAGCATCACTACTTGACTGCACATTTTTCATTGCATCACCACTTAAATAACCATCAGTAGTCATCAAACTTGGCCTGTATTCGTAGTTAAATATCAAATCTTTACTATTGAAAAGGCCAGGTGGAGCATTAGTATAGGCATGGCGTCTAGTCCTTTGTGACGTGCCAGTATTTTGCGAGAGGGGTACAGGAATATTGATATCCTCTTCAGTACGAAACTTGGGGAAGTCATATGTATCATCCATAGTGGATTCTTTAACTGTTGAAGAATCCGCTGAAGGATTTTCACTGTTGTCATTTTTAGGAAGAGGGGCTTCAGCATTTGAGCTCTTGGTAGAGGGTGGAACATCATAAATATGTTTGTCCTCTTTTTGTGCTTGAAATGGAAGTTCAAAATTCTCATACCTGTGCCTCTCTCTCAGTTTGGAAGGTTTGGGAGGCCTCGGAGGTACACTACTCGCTTGATTCACATAAATTGAGTCATTTTCATTTGAAGCCTCTTCAACAGAAGACTGCAAATTTAGATTTTCAAAATGGCTCGCTAAAGTTTGAACCTTTCTAGGTTGGGGCTTAATATCTTTAATAGAACCATGAAAAGAAGGAACAACATCGTATACATTCACTTCTTCCTTAGTACTTGATTTTCTTCTGGGTACTGTACTACTGGCAGGAGGGCAAGATCCTTCAGGATAAGTATTCCAATTCACCTTAGGAGGCAAAGTATTAAATACATCATTGTTGTAAATGTGTGTTAAATCAGATTTTGACTGAACAGGAACTTTGTAAGTATCGTCTACATCAATGTCAGATGTGGATGTATTGAGGTTGTTACTGCCAGTTCCCAAGGGTTTGGGATGATCATAAAATTCATCTGCTATTAAGGACAAGTCTATTTTTGGAGGTGGTGGTGGTGGATCTTTAGGTAAATCAGAACATCCAAAATTATTAACAGAAGAACTAGGGTTTCCTTGAACAGATAAGTCATTTGTTAAACCATTCAGTATAGGTTTTCCAGTATGGCATTCACTTATTGGAATATAAGGATTAGAAGAGTTTTTAGAATGGTAAGAGTTGGATGAAACGGGTTGAGTTGTTACATTGTTGTTGTTTGATGAAGTACTTGAATCTTGAGGCACAAGAAAATCTATGACATAAAAAAGACATATATTAGGAGAAAAGTTCTTAACTTCATTCATTTTTAAATTTCACAAAATATTTCTGGCATAAAAGAAAAAGTGTCTATTTTTGTAGTATTTAAGCGGTGCCGGGAGAAACAGAATTATCAGAAATAAAATAACTAAAAGATATACAGCTGTAACAATACCATAAATTAGCATAATCTTAAGCTCTAAGCCATAAATAATAGCATAAATAATACACAACATCAGTATGTGGCACAACACTAACTTAGATTTGAATAAATAATCAAAAATTTAGTACATCAACCACATTTTTGGTCATAAACTTTCTAAATACAGTAGAACCCCACATTTTTTGCTCTAATAATCTGCCATTCTGTATAATCAGAACCGATGCTACTTCTCAAAAATTATAAATAAAAAGAATATTTGAAAAAATATTCATTCATAAACAAGCTATGAAAAAAACTACTTTATTAATTGTTAATACTTCAATATCAAAACAAACTATAGATTTTCATTAAGTTGCAGATTTTGTGAAATGCAAAGATTATATAAAGTCACATATTCTCCTCCAATACTAGTTCAAATGTATAGTTATAATTAAAAAGTCATAAACAGTGTATATTTAAGTGGGTAAATAACACAGATTTGTGCTGAGATAAATCAATAATGTTTTATTCCAAATATGGGTTTTAAATTTATGTGAATACAAATTGTAAAAAAATACCCTAAAATATACTATCATTCACATGTGTTGTAATTTTATCACATGAATAAGCCTGGCGTCACAACGTCAAAAGATAATTTGCCAATGCTTTTGATTTTTTTTAACTTTTAAAACAATGTGGTGACAAAATTTAAATGTTTGAAAGTTTAAAACTCACCTCTATATCACCTTAAAAAATAAATACCCAAATCCTGATACATCAGTATGTACTACGACTGGAATATTACCGTCAACAATGTCAATAAAAATTGTGCGAAACATCAATTACAATAGGAATTTTAGATAATCCTAACTTCGGGGAATCCAAACAGGTTGCCTGTTTGGGTTATCTAAAATTCTGGATTATCTAAATTTATCTAAGCGCAAATTAGTTAGGAGTAGTGAGGTTCCACTATACTTTTGATCATGAATAAACTTAAACACACATTTATAAAGAAAAAATGATAACAAAGATTATGCGCAGTGAAAAGTAAGGCAAGTTACAGTTTTAAATATTCATTACAAATAAGTATTTTAAAATCATACCTTCTTCCATGTGGATTTTCAATTCACAAACAGAGCATATGCACTCCACCCATTTATTCATCTCTGCTTCAGTTTCAGCGACCAGATAATATGTTCTTTTAGGTGTCCTAAGATCAAACATATGTTGATAGCTCGTTCTTTTGCTGTCGAATGAGATACCAGCATCAACCTTGAATAAGTAGGAGGAAGAATTATTAATAATAACAGAATAGAAATAAAATAGAAAATTTGATTTCATAGCCTTATTGTACAAAACATTTTAAATTAAATTTTAGTAAAGTTATACATGGACCAGGGCACGTCACTATAGAAAGACTCTCTATTTTTACTCATGTTAGTTCTAAAATATTTGAGGCATGTTTCAAAGAATGTTTTGCAAGTTTTGTTTGTGACAATGCTTAAAGTGAAATGCAATTTCCTTTACAAATAAACTAGGAAAAAGTTAAAAAATTGAAAAGATAATTCAATAAATAAAAAAAATTACAATTTTAAAATTTCAGCGACATTAAATAATCCCACTAATTGGATACTAATTAATTAGCAAATTTGGATATTTGAAAAACAGTTAAAAGTTAACTTTAGGGATAAATGAAAATTCTATTTTTTTTCATGTATGTAAGTTTTATTTTAATAAATACATATTTTTATTAACTACACAGAAGCAAAAAATTAGTTATACATCTGAAATCGTTCATATTACTTTAAATAGAATTTAACTACTTCTTGGAATTTTCGGATTACAAAATTATGTAAATGTTAGCTACCACCCACCATCATATTTTTCAGTTTGTCTGACCTACTATCAAAAAGTGGTTAAACACCACTGCTAGATGTAATATAAATATTAATTCATAAAACTCATACAAATAACACCAAAATTTTAAATCTCTGAAAGTTTAAAACTGAAACACTTTTAAATTTTGCAAAAATTTTTATTAAATTTAAAAGGAAAATGTAGATGGGTAAAAAAACAAATAAAACTAAAAATTGCCATTTACATGTTTAAGGAGACATAAAGATCACCTAATATTTTCAAGCATGACTATAATTTCGAAAAATATGTCAAATGATAGCAAAACAACTAAAAAAGGAAAATAATCCATCATTTTCCTATTCAGTATTAATTACTTCCCATTAAGTACTTAAAACTCCTATTTTCCTTAGCACTTCAAAAAAATTGGTAGATACTAGCCATGTATACTTTTTTTGACATTAATATCTGGTACCTGTCATGAATGAAATAAAACAATTATTTCTCAAATAAACAGATATTTAAGATTTACTCGCTACCACTTTACATTTTCTGATGTAAAAACAAATTATCAGAAATTTTTTAACAAAGCAATACCTATTGGTGTGTAATTAGTGAGCTCCTTGTTCATGGCATATAATTAAAATTACAGAATTGACAAAGTCATTTACATATTTCCAAAGCCAATTTTTAAATAATATTTTTTCTTTCTGTAGGAAACTGCTGAAAATGCTGTCAATCCAGTTAAGCTACTTAGAGATTGAACAAACTCCATTTAGAATAATTTTACACTCCTTTTTTTAAAAAAAAAATAACAAAAGCTTTGCCGAAAATAGATCATATGCATAGTGTGCTGCAGCACACACTGACCTTCAATTTATTACTGTATTTTTAGTTTACACATGAAATACAGAAGGGATAAAAAGAAATTCAATTACATATTTTAAGAATATCACATTGAATATAGAAATTTTGGAAAATTACTTGGTCACATTGGTCTAAGTCGATTCTACCCTTCAGTTTTTTACAAGTGTTATCGGTAAAATATTCAAGAATAAATTGTCCAGGAAGAAGACCTGAATGACGCAAGACAAACCATCTTTGACGCCACTTCTGCAAAAAAAAAAATTCTTTAAATACACAGTGAGATATTCACTAATCAGAGATGGCAAATTTCTACGATAGTGGAAAAAATTGTGGAGAAAAGCATCCCATAACTCCGACCCATGTAGAAGAAATGCATTTTCAAAAAGAATTAGCAAATATTAAAAAAAAATTTTTAAACAGTTTATAGTCTAGTTTATATGGCAGTCTTAATTTCCAAGCTATTTAACATATCAATTGTTTATTTTTAAATAAGTGAAAACTAAAAAGCAACAATTGGAAAAAATAACAAATTTAAAAAACTTATTAAATTACAGTAACTGTAGTTCAATATTTTATGTAATATAATATAGTAAAGATGATTGATCTTATAATTACATAAAATATTATAAAAATATTAAAAGTAAATTTAATTAGCGCTAAACTAAAAACTACACACCAAACCTATTCATATACTTTTTATAATCAAATATTGTTAAGCATGAATGCTCAAACCAATTCTTATATAATATACTAAATTTAAAAACTCTGCATAAAATTAAAATAATAAAGAAAATGTAGAAACCCTTTTATTACAAAATTAGATTTGAAATATAAACTACAATTTTCTAATAAAAAATCAGCCGGAAGAAAAACTTGTAAATTTCCTCGAATAATGCATTCTAGAAAAACTTTAAACATTCTAATACTTATATCACAATTTCCATTAGACACAAGGTAATAGGAAACTTTCTTTTAAAAGTTAAATTTTATAAAAAAGTACAATTAGCTCAAAATTCTGCTGTATTAAAATGTATTCATTTAATTATTCTCCTTTAAAATGTTTGCAATTATAAACTTTTTCAATGTCATAATTGGAATTTAATGTAGGAATGAAACTTGCAAATTCATCAAAAACTTAGCAAGCTCTTAACAAAAAAAAAATTTTTTTTTTCATTTCAATAATAGGAAAATAAAAATAATAGGTATGTAAAGATTTTAGTTAATCTAGCTAAAATATTTTGAAGAAATGAGAGATCTCAGAAAATAAATAAATAAATAATAAAAAAAATAACAAAATAGGATTATAGTGTCTTCAGCCCAAAACTATAATTATTATTTACTATCAGTTTTTGATGCTTGTCATGTCAAAAACCTGAGTTGATGTGAAACTAAATTGCAATAAAAGAAAACTATTAGAAGTATTTGGAAAAAGATCTTTAAAATGCATGTCATAATAATAATGATATTTAAAATAAAGTAATATTATTTATACTTAGTAATTCATTCAGTTAAAATGTATCAAGAACTGGTAAATAAATAACAACAAAAAGTAAATCATTGCACATAAACATATTTTATTTTATCCAGAAAATAAGGTGTGATGTTTACATGTAAATTAGTTGTGAGATGATTACAAGTATAATACTTAAAAAAAAAAAAAATTACTATTATAAAAATTCTGTAAAAAAATTACTTTCATTTCCTTTATTTGTTTAAAAATATATAATTTGGTAAAAATAGTTCAGAAATTTGATGTAGGTAGTAAACTATAAAATATGAATCTACTATTTTAGGAATAAGAAAGCTTTACTGGGAAAATCTGTCTGAGTAGATAATAATAAATAATGACAATTATAAAGAGAGAGAGAGAAAACAGGATGTATAACTAGATTATTTAAGGAAGTTACATGGAGAGGAAGTTAACAATAAATAAGATAAGAACGAAAGAAAAAATAAATTCAGAATCATAAATAAATTATAGGGTGGAGAAATAAATATTTATGGAAAAACTAAATATTTATCTATCATGTGGCAAATCTAAAAAGCTTGTTTTAATATTTTGAAATCATCATACAGAGTTGCATATTAAAACAGACATTTTCATTCAATCATTCATTTGATACTGACTCAATCTAGTTAACATTTAATTCAAATTCAGACTGTCATTTGATTGCATAATCCACGATTTCATTCAAAATGAACTGATGAGTTTGGTTCAAGTCACTTAGTTTCATTTCTGTCATTTTCTATCCTACAAATGACTGAATTTTTTCACTAAAATTGCATTATTGCTTATTTTATAAACATTTCTAGGTTCAAATGAAACATGCAATTTATGGGTCATCAAAAATTACTTTTTAATTTAAATCAATGACCTTGAAAAATTAACAAATACCACATGATATGCCTTTAGACACTATGTTTTAGTTTTATGCCTTTTCATTATTATTATCCATCAATTTATACGTCTTTTAGATAGGTTTCTCATCTCTATCAAGCAAAATGTTACTTTTGATAATAATCCATAATTTTACTAACAACTTTTAACTATTTATGAATAAAAAATATGTACAAAACGAAACCAATGGTAAAAATTAAAAAAAAGATACATTTTGTAAAAAGCGAAATGCAAATGACGACGGTCAGACAGAATTAACATCAATGATAGGTTTCTGAGTAATTTTAACAGAATGACACAAATATAGGAAGAAGAAAAAGAAAAAAAAACATGTACATGCGCATTTAAACATTGTTTCAATATTGTTTTTTTCCCCTTTCCAAAAAGTTATGAAATTAATCAATGGGGAGGCATATAGCGACGAGTTCGCACACTTAAAATCAGTATAATGACTCACATATTTTTAACCCATTGTATGAGGTAATAAAAATAATCAAGAGGTCGCAAATTCTTACACTGAAATGTTATGTTACTTTCTTTTTGAAGAATGCAATCACTGTTACAGAAGCCATACGAATCTGCAAAGAAGATATTAGGTTATAGAGAAAAACTACCGAAGTCAGAAGATTGAAAGTGGGGCCTCAAAGCGGCGAGTCCGTTATGGCAACTTGTAAATGCATAAATTCTGATTTGCAATCCCTATTTTATAGCTGTTAGAGAAAAAAATGTTCCATCACAAAAGACACAAGTAACATGAATATGTAATTCAAAATCTTCATTAAAATAAAATTACGCAGAACACTGTCAACAACTACAATAAATTCCAAAGGTTTACTCACCTGTGAAATAACAATATTTTGAAGAATATCTCAGCAAATTTTTAATCAAATTTGGAAACAAACAATTTTCATTTAAAACTGATAGAAAACTAACACTTCTGGCCCAACATGAAATGAATGAATATAGCACAGCTTCCCAGGCTTAATTACAAAAATATTGACGAATGTTTATTCTTGGAAAAATTGTTCTTTCCTCTTCGGGTGATGTTTGCAAATTTACTGAAAAGCGATAAATCTTCGGACTTTAGGCTGGATAAATAGTTATTATACCCTTCTGATAAACCGCTCGTCCATTTCCTTTGACCACACCCCGTGCTTGCAGAATGAGACGCCATGTGATACTCATTAAATGAGTATACAAACCTGCGTGGACAAAAGCACACACTCTGCGATTGCGATAAAAACCAGTCGTAGTTTCAGTATAATCAAAATATTTAGATGAACTTGTTTTGGCTCACGTTTCAAAATACAGTAAATAAAAGAAACAGAAAAGCATAAACAAAAGTTTTGTTTAACAAAGTAGCAGGCGCTTACTTCAAAACTGTTTCACAAATAATTATAATAATTTATATAAATCATAAAGATTTAGTCTCTGTACAAGAGCCGGAGAGAAGCAATTATACTAAGTCGAACTCGATATTAGGTAGCAATTTTAATGAATCAAAGGTGTTATAAGCAAAGTCTGATGCAAAAAGAAAGAGTTGGAACTGGCAAATGAATAACATGCATTTTTTCGATCCATTTAAAAGATAAAAAAAATTTTTTTACACCTTTTTAAAATATGAAATTTAGACAAAATAGGTCGAACAGTTTCCTAATTATTAAATTTCGGAAAAACCGAAACTTTAAATTTTTATTTTTCAGGAACCAGTCACCCGATTTTGTATGTGCTTTAAAGCTACATAGTTCTGATGAAATAAAAATCTGCATGCCTTACAATAAAATTTTTTTCATCATTATTAAATAATATAATGAATGATTCTAATTAATCATTAAAAATTATGGAATCATCTGCGGATAAATGAGTTTTTTCTAATGCCACTCGTTATTATACCAGCCAGGCTGCTCGGTGAAACCAAGCTAATTTACGGTGCGCTTCTTGTTTTTCAGTGGAGCCAGCTATGGCCAAAAATACGACTTAAGTAAACACACGCACGTGACAGCCCGTTTCAAAGGGCTGATTTATTCATACATCCACAGTTCGTAATTTTAACCGGAATCAGAGAACGATTAATCTCCAATTCAGTACCCCCAGAAGTATTGATTTGTTATGAGAACTCGGAGGACTTTATTGACGCTACAGATTTAACGAGCAACCATTTACTACATGGGGAGTCTTTTGCATAGGGCAGGGATCGAACAAACTCGCGACCTCTTGAACATGGGCCCAACGTCCTACCGACCAGGCTATCCTGGCCGGATAAATGAGTTTCATAATCTAGTGCTAAAAGTTTCCAAGATATAGAAAAAAGCACTAAAAGTTAAATTACCATTAAAGGACCCAAACTTTTGATCACTCTCCTGACTACGCAGCAACCCACATTTTGTACTTCATGCAAAATTAGAATCATATCAACTCTTTGATATTCGTTTATTGTTAAGAATCAAAAATTATTATGAAGCAATTGTGAGTTATATCCATTCTTATCGAAGGTCCTACGTGATTTTCTTGGTGCTGAATAGCAACTTGTGAGGGTGTCATGAAAAACGGATCAATGAATAAAATTTAGCGTCCATAAAAAATGACCCCTACTGATAAAATTATGTTGAAAAACAAATTTATCAAATATGAATAATAGAATTTTAAATGAACAAACAATTGCAATTCTGTTTCAAGTTTGCATTTAATTTTATATCATAGAAATTAGTTTGCTTTTAAAAAATGAGAAGACATTTGTTCGTTTGGGATGCTTAGTTTTTCGAAAATAACTTATTTATGTGATTAAATTTTATTTTCTACAGATAAATCATGGATGGCATCGTCTTTAGTGCATTCTAAATACAACTAGAGATCGTCAAAAAGAACAATATTTTGAACACATTTGAATTCTATTTGTTTTGTTTATATATTTTTTTTTTCGTAATTTCTTATTTGATCTTTCCCGCATTCGCCCAGTCCCCGGAAGAGGTTTTGACGATCTTTCCTAAAGGTTCAACACACAGTGTGTCTACGGAATTGCGTGTCTCCCAAAAGTATTCGTAAATAGACAGCTTGTCTTTCCTGGATGTTTCACTGTATTAATTTTAATAAATATAATTACGAAAACAATTATAATTGCTTTTACTTATTATTAGATTGTTAACTAAGCAACAAATTATAAAAGAATACATATTCATTGTACTCATTTCAAAAGTTTATACACACAAAAAGTAAAATAGGTAGCATTAAGAGATTTAACACTTTACGTTCGTTCATTTACATCCGGTTCGTTAAATAATCTCAATTCCAAAGAATAGTTTGATCAATATTTAAAAATGTGAGATAATTTAAAATGAAATAAACCTAGAATGACGAGTTTCAAATTTTGAGTAATGATTGACTTGAAAGTTTTTTCATTTCAAAATAATTGTTTCATTAAGTTTTCTTAATGTTAAGTTTATTCCTTAATGTTAAGTTATTTAAAAGGGAAAAAAATCACAATCCGCTTTCTTACCAAACGAACGTTATTTAGTACTATTTGATGTAAACAGAGTTGCATCCTAAGTAATGAGCAAAAGTAAAAAGCAAAATTTCTTAAAGTAATTGTTCAATTTGAAAACCAAAAATTATTACCAAGATATTTAAACCAGTCAGATATCTAATTTTACTTGTCCAATCGAAGAGCAAGGATGAACAAGTTCCCGATATAAAATTTAGAATTCATTCATCGAGTGGTTGATGGCTGAATTGAATGCATGGCACAATCGGCCGGCAAAACGAAGTTGAGCAGTATAGCAAACAATATTACACCCAACAAATAAATAGTACTACGTACACGCACTTAATGTTCAGAAGTTTAATAGTATTTTAAACTAGATCTGAAGTGAAAACGGAACGAAAAAAGTTCATTAGAGTCTGTGTGGAATGGCCTCTGGAGAGTGGAGCCCGTATTTACCTGAACAAAGCAAACCAATTAAGAGTTAATTCACAATTGAATCGATTCCTTAGAAATATTTCGACGCGAAAAATGAATTTCAAAATTCAATATTTTCAAAATCAACTCTATAAAATTATTTATAGCATTGTAACTAAACTTTATTTTAAAGCAAACCTTTGAATAGCCTCTTTAGAACTTCAAATTAAAATATAATCATTCATATGTTCCAATAAAAATTCTTATCAATAACTAGATTCTTCAGATAAAACATTAAAGATTAGATTACAAGAGTAACTACAATGCCATGGCAACCACTTATACAAAGATAACCATAGAATGCTCTCCATCTCTTTCAGAAATACTCAGCGGTATTCATTGAGAACTTCAGTTATCAAAACAAAATTGTAGTTAAGAAAACAAAAATGTCTGAGGGACTGAAACTATTTTTAGCAGCGAGGCAAAATCATCAACACAGTTAATTTTCTCAACAAATAACAGTACTGAAAAAAAAAAAAACATTCATTATTGCTGTGTACAGCCCGAAATTTCTAAGAAATCTGCAAATGAATAGTAATTATTGTATAAAATGATCGATTCATTGAAAGATTACTTTGCGTAATATTAGTAAGATTTTAAATTATATCTTCGTATTCGCTTATTGAAAAACAAATTCTTTGGAATATTAACTCCAGTTCGATGAGTTATATTATTTTTGTTTATGATTACAAAACAATGTATTAAAAACAGACTTGTGACGTGAAAACGCTTCTTTTTAGTCATTTTTTTTCTCATTCATAAGCATAATACGATCAAACAAGCGAACCTATCGACTTCTCGAGATTTAATTATTTTCGAATACAACAGAATTTAATGTTCTACAAACAGTACTTAATGTTAAAAATTTTTTAATGCTTGCAATGTATTGTTACGATTCATCATTAATAATAACTACGGGTTAGGTATAAAATTTAACATATTATAAACTTAAGTTATTAAAAGTATTTTTTTTAAAAAAAAAATTCTGATTTAAATGAATACAATCGGATTTAAATCAAATAAAAGGGATTTTTGGATTTAAAAAATATAAAAAGAATATAAAAAGGAGTGTTAGTGCAAATGATATTAATTTAAATTCAGAAATTGAAGTACGTAATATAAATTTTAAACAAAAATAGAGAAAATAATTTAATACTTAATGGCGTGGGTCTGACTCCTTTCGTTTTTCTTTTAATATAAAATAAGACCTAGAAGATTGGTTATATATATAACATAATAAATAAATACAAAAAGAACATAAAGAAAAGAAAAGAAAAAACCCGAAGAAAATTAAGAAAAACATATATGGGAATACACATCCTCGCACAACAGCAGTGCCACCACCCTAATCTCAGAACTGTTCTAACGCTCAGACGGAGCAGTCATTTTAAAACTCTTCAAAAAATTGTTAATTTTTCTTTTTTTTTAATTTACTATTTTCACAACGTGTGCTTTCAATTCTGGCTCAATATACCAAAGTACAACCTCTCTCTCTCTATATATATGCGTTATTCAAAATTAAACGCTTTCTCTCACTTAATTATTTACTTTATATTTTTCTCATTCTATTTTTGGACTAAAGTATGTATGAATTAACATTTTAAAGTTTTCCCTTTACTAACTGTGAGAACAACATTATTTCCTTAAACTATTTAATGGATAAATTATAATAACTAACGCTTTCCTTTTTTGCATGTGATTTAAAGTTCATTGGGATTTTTTTGCAAGATTTTCCCTAGCTTTGGAGAGAGACCCACTTCGATTTTGGTTTGTTTTCTTGCTATCATACAATGATTACTTAATAGAAACTTTTATTTCGCTTCGGCATGCCTGTTTATTTCTCCTGCTCGGCCATGCTGCCTTTTCACACACAATCCATAAACAGTTTTAAGAGACATAATGCAACAAAATTGAAAACTAAAAAAAAAATTAAAAAAAAAGTAAAACGTATACAATTTCGAGACACAATAGTGCAAAGCTGTTTAATGTTATAACCAGAAAAATATTTGAAGAAAATATAAATCAAAATAAATTAATACCTGCCATGAAGCCGATGAGAACATCATAACAAGAAAAATCCGAAAAGAAGAAACAGGAAATCACATCTTAAACTTCATAAAAAAATTTTTAAAAAAATACCCAGAAAAGATATACATATGACAATTGCCGCACAAAGTATAAAATGCCTAGGCACAGCCAGAAGTTTTTAGGCAAAGTACGAAATATGAGAAATATTTTATACTTTCCCGAGGAATTGTAAACAATAACTAAATATTCAACAGAAGGATAA